ATGGTAAACAGTTGATTGGTTTCGTTACTGTTCACTTAATACCATTTATTATTGGCTGTGGATATTAAATAGTGTAATACATAGAAACTCAGGGTCAACAAGAATGTTGTGGTAAGAAGATGCGATGTCTAGAGAAAGTTGTGCTGGCAAGAAACCCCACAGCGAAGGATCTCTTGAAAAATTCTGTGATGTTGAAATGATAAAGGATACCGTGTTGGAAAGCATTGGAAGGTGTTCACTCTGTGTTACTTTAAACAAGCAAGAAGACATGCAGTATTCAAAGGTGCAGAACATGGTGCACGTATTTTGAATACCATGTACCTACTATTCATAGCTGACACATTTCTGTCTATGGACAGTATTTTGATTTAGGCCAGCACTTATCTATAAGCTGAAGCAGTGGGTGAGATTGTTTTAGACTTTTAAAATGATAATAGGGGGCCTGGGAAGGGGGCTCAATGGTAGAGCACTTGCCTCGCATGCATGAGGACCTGGGTTCGATTCCTCAGCACCACATAAGCAAAAAGAAAAAAGCTGGAAGTGGCACTGTGGCTCAAGGGGTAGAGCGCTAGCCTTGAGCTGAAGGACAGCGCCCGGGCCCAGAGTTCAGGCCCCATGACCAGACCCCCCAAAAAATAAAAAAGTAAAATGATAATAGGGTAGAGGATTGTGCAATATTCTAAATTCCTCCTAGTGGTAAGTGCTGTGTGTGTTTGCTTGTGTGAATATGTGTGTGGGATTGTGTGTGTCACGTGTGTGTGCACGCACGGGCATCTGGAGCCGTGCTGGAAAGTCTGATGTACCACGCGATGCAGAGAGCAGACTTGGAGAGCTGATGACTCTCTGTGGACTGCTGCTCCTCACGGTTAAAAGCATGTACAGGCTCCTGTCTGAGAGAATTACTTTGAGAAATGCCCACAATCCAATGCTGAGATGCCCTCTTGTGTAAGTCAGGTAAAAATTGGCCAGTTTAGAACATTTGCCTGTGAAGCTGTTTGAAATAATGGAATTTCCAGTTTCCTTATTTGAGTTTCCAAATGAGGAATAAAAAAGATGTGTGGTCTTTTTTTTTTTTTTCCAGGGCTGAGGACCGAACCCAGGGCCTTGTGCGTGCTGGGCGGGCGCCCTTCCGCTGGGCTAAACCCCCAGCCCCAGATGTGTGGTCTTAAGAGCCACATTGTACCATTTTTATTATTTTGGATGAGTTCTTATTCATCATAGGTTTTGTTGTTGTTGGTGGTGGTCGTGGGGCTTGAACTCTGGGCCTGGGCACTGTCCCTGAGCTCTTCAGCTCAAGCGAGCGCTCTACCATTTGAGCCACAGCACTACTTCTGGATTTTTCTGTATATGTGGTGCTGAGGAATTGAACCCAGGGCCTCATGCATGCGAGGCAAGCACTCTACCATGAGCCACCTTCCCAGTGTTTTTAATTTAAAAAAAAGTAAGAGCATTCAAAATGAAAGCTCCATTTGAATCCTATGAATTTCTTGATAATTTATTCCTTCTTCAGTTCTAATGATGATTTGTTGTATATTTCCTAGACTTTGTTTTAAAATTTTTATGTTAATTTGGAAAGAGCAGTCCGTATTTACGTTTCCTTGTGGGCCTTGGCTAAGAAGTTTTGTTTCTTTTACAGCTATATAATAAATTCTTGTGTTACTCTTTCCAGACATTTCCATTTGCACTGCTGGAGTCTGCTCCAGGACATTCGTGTGTGTGTGTGTGTGTGTGTGTGGTGATTGCAGCTGGCTACAGGAAAGGCTGCTAGCAGAGTGCCGAGTCCCAGTCCTGTCCTCTGATGCGCCTGTTGTATGACTTGACCATTAGATGGCGATGGCAAGCTGGGGGATAGGCTGGCTTCCTCGCCAGACACTGAGACCTTGAATGTGTTTGATCTTAGGAGGAAGTAGCTTACGGATATTAAAAGGTTGTTTTATATCATGCCAAATGCTACTTTTAGCTGTAGGCTCCTCATAAATATTTATTTGTTAGTTCCTTCCTGAGAATTAAATTATGAATTGGTGGGCTGGGAAGGTGGCTCAGTGGTAGAGCGCTTGCCTTGCATGTTTGAGGCCCTGGGTTCGATTCCTCAGCACATAAGCAGAAAAAGCCGCAAGTGGTGCTGTGGCTCAAGTGGTAGAGTGCTCGCCTGGAGCTGAAGAGCTGAGGGACAGCGCCCAGGCCCAGAGTTCAGGCCCCACTACCGACAAAAAAAACAAACACCAAAAAAAAAAGAAAAAATCATGAATTGATTTAATAAGACAGCAAATTGAAAGATTGTTTACAAGGTGAGTTTCTTTGAATATCAGTTTTATGAATATTAAAATTTCTAAGATTTTGTATGCTTTTCTGTTTGCATACAGGAAAGAATAAATATGGTATTTATTCAATATTAGCCACTCCTTAGGCATTTGTAATCTGAAATCTGGAACCTGAAATGCTCAAAACTCTGACACGACACCTGAAGTGGGAATTGAATGTGCACCATCGGGTGCTGCTCAGTCACCACCAGACACACTGGAGTTGTAGAGGAGGGTCTCTTCTCTGTGTACACAGGCACTTGTTCCTTAGATAGAGATAGTCCAGCATTTCCCCAAAGCTGGAATTTGAAATATACTTGGCTCCAAGCGTTTTGGATGGGTCTTCTCAAGTTGTGTAACACAAAAGCTTAAGAAATTTGATGTTTCATATTTGAGATTATTTCAAAATCATCAGCCTTTTAACAAGTAATAAAATGGAATTCTTTCTTAACTATTAGTGGGCTATTATGTGTTGCTTTTAGACACTAGTGCTACAATTTATATTATTCCTGCTGGCATTATTTCATTCAGGTAAATGATTCATTCTTTGGCCTAGATAAATTTTTCTGGCCCAGTGTTAAAACTATGCAAAATACACATACAGTGTGATTTTGATGGATCTTCTTGTGTAAGGTTTTTTTGTTTGTTTGTTTTTGTCGGTTGTGGGGCTTGAACTCTGGGCCTGGGCCCTGTCCCTGCGCTCTCAGCTCGAGGCGAGCACTCTGCCGCTTGAGCCACAGCGCAACTTCCGGTTTACTAGTGGTTTATTGGAGATGAGAGGCTCATGGACTTTCCTGCCCGGGCTGGCTTTGAACTGCAATCCTCAGATGTCAGCCTCCTGTGTAGCTAGGATGACAGGCGTGAGCCACTGGCGCCCGGCTTTCTTGTGTAAGTTTTTAAAAAGGGCCTGTAGTGCTCTGCGTGTTCTCCCCACCAGTGTTTTAATATGTCTCACTGACTTACTGATTGCAGTTCACAGAAGTAAACAGTCCTGTACTGTGTTTGATAGCTATGCAACACAACTGCAGAAACGGCAGACGGGATTCAGCGTACCCCAAGAATTAACCATAAACTTCAAGGATCCAGAGTATCCCAAGAACTAACCAGGATTAAATGAGGAGTACGAATAGAATCACTTGATATTATAGAGAGGGTAGTGTTTTATTTTTAGATTCAAATGGGGCCCTGCATTTAGCACTATCTATAAACAGTGAAGTGTATAGTGTTATTTTTGAGATTCTGACTGGAAACTTGCACTGTGGCGAAGAGGATTGTTCACACAGCACTGAAAATGTTTCCCAAGACCCACCTGCTCCTGTGGGTATTCTGGGGGAGCCTCTTGCTCTGAGCTGATGTGAGGTTGCCAGCTTCCTCTAGTCCATGGCATGCAGTTGGAGGTCTAAACCCATAGCCGCTGCTGTGGTAAGTCTTCACGTTTTCAACGTATAGAGCTGGCGTCTGGACGTTTGAACGGGAGCTGTCCAGTAGTTACTCATTCCCTCTGCTGCCAGCGCCTGTGCCCTTGCTTTCTCTATTGAGGCACTTGGTTCCCAGCACCTCGGAGCGGCAGGCAGTGTTGCACAGTTGTTCTTGCACCCCATTTTCACTCACTTTACCTTCTTAGACTTTTGCAGACAGATCACAAACGTGTAAATGTAGTATTGGTTGTGTCCACATTGCCTCCCCTCTTTGCTTAGCAAACATGTCTTCGTCCTCCTTTGTAACCATCCAGATTCGAGGTCAGTGTTGAGAACAGATCACACCCTTCATCAGTGCCCCTGAGTGCTCTGAAAATGAAGGCTGCTTAAAGCAAAGGTACATACTGAAGAAAGGGAAAATCTTCTAAGATGTAAATGTTTATTCTTGAACTTGTTTTTTGCCTGACTTACTGAACTCTATCCTTCATCTTATAGTTAAATATTTAAATTAATGACAGGTCTATGAAAGGCAGGCTATACTTTACTGGGAAGAACATTTTACTAATATATATTTAAAATGAAAACTGAAGAGACTATTCAATGAACTATATATATATATATATATATATATATATATATATATATAAACACACACACACACACACACACACACATACACATCAGCCAAGCCTCTGTATTTTCTTCTGTACTATTAGTGCATAAAGATTAAATATATCATAAGGTTTTTTTAGTGATGGCAAGTGTAATTCAGAGTACTAAAAAGTCTTTACATGCCACTATGTGTTTTCTCTGTGGTAGTTGATATGAAATCATTAGTTGAACTTACTTTTATCCAATAGTTGAACATTATCCATATGTTTCTTAAAAAGATAGCCAAACTTCCTCTTGGCTCACGTCCCCACTATTACATCACACATTTTCTTCTTATGTGCATGGAGCAGTGATAAACGCAGGAACAGAGGGTAGTAAGGGTAGGGATGACAGAAGATCTAGTCATCAGTATTTGCTGAGTTGTGCAAACAGTGTATTGAATTGTGAGATGTCTCCATAGTTTCTGTTCTCTGCAGAAGTATCTTGAGAGCAGCAGTGTGCTACAGGACACTAACGTAGTCAGTAACATGCTCCCCAGAAAGAAGGTCCTCAAACAGCGGTCGTGAGCCTGTCACACATCCCTACAGGACCTCTGTTACCTTGTGCTGTGCCGAGCCATTATCTTGGCTCCAGTTGTGCCCCCACGGCATGCCATTTCAGACTCCAGACCGGATAATGAAAATAGACATTTATTTACACTTTTTACACACGGACCCCAACAAACATGAGAAGGCTCTCGGCCTTGCCTGCTCACACGTCAGTGTAGTCGTAGTATATTCGGACTTCTGACCGCCTGACGCTTTGCAGAGATCGAATGCTTTCACTTCTGGTTCTGATATTTGATTTTTTGAATAACCTTTTTGAAAATGACCTACACATGAAAAAGTAAATGATTGGATCTAGGCAGACATTGCATGCAGACAAGAAAAGTGTCATCTCTTTGCAATAATACAGAATTTTATGTGCAGATTCATCTAAAAGCCTGTCTAAGTGACTGAAAGTAAAAGGAATTCTGCACAAGTGATATGGTAGAAAGCAGGTGAAAAACACGGCCACAACCACCCTAATGCTTTGGTTATGCTTTCGCTTTCGGCTAGACTGACTTATGAACTGCTTGCTGGATTTGTGGATGTACCTGGATATGGCTATGTAGCACCCGATCAGAATGACCAGCACAGCCACAAACAAGCAGCTGTTGACATAGACAACTGCCATGTGCCATGTGACTCCCAGGGGACTTTTAAGTCTGGTGCACTCATGAATGTTGTCAGTAGTCGGTTGACCGTTTGTTAGGATGATGTTTGGCAATGACAGAACAGCCATGATCACCCAAACACAAACAGATAAAACTTTTGTAAAGGTTATGCTATACATTCGCGAGTCCCCAAATGGCTTCACCACCTTCAGGTACCGGTCAATGCTGATCAGCCCTAGAAACACAATGGACGTATACATGTTTGCATAGAATAAAACGGAGGTGTATCTGCAGAGGATAAACTCGAAGTACCAAGGGCCAAATCCTGCACCGTGGACTATCCGAAATGGGAATGTCAGTGTCATTATGAGGTCAGCCACCACGATGTTTTTGAGGTAAAATATGAAGCTGGTTTTATTCCGAATGTGGAAGAAAATCCACACTGCCAAGCCGTTCAGCAAGATGCTTGCCACAAATAGGATGAGGTAAAACACAGGCAAGACGATGGTGTCAAACTCGCTGTGAAGGGTGGTGTTCTCCTGGGGCCCATCGCTCGTGTTGGTCAGGGGGCGGCTTTGGTGGCTCTGCAGCTCCACGCCTGGAGAAGTGGGAGACTCGGGTCAGTGCCTGGCATGCGCTCTGGATTTAGTGTCAGTGACTTTCTGGTGATAAAAACCTAGGGCTCTTTCACGGGCCACTTACTAGCAGAGATAAAGAAAATACCTTGATTTTTAAAACTAAAAATGTGCTGTTTTCAGACACAGCAAAGTTCTAAGCATAGATCTAACTTGCTGAACCTTTTAGGACCATTTTCACTTTCATAGACCTCAAGTTACAGATTGGTGTTTGGATTTTGGATTATAACCATCCATGAATATTGCACATGATTTTAGACCCTTTCAACAAAATTTGTTTTCATAGTTAGATACCTATAGTAAATGTTTCTAGGTAGCCCAGTGAAAAAGGCATTTTAAAAAATTTTTTATTTTTAAGTTATTTTATTTAAATTTTTTATTGTGACTTTTTTACTTTTTTGTTCTTAGTATTTAAACTAAGCAGCTTCTTAGGCAAGTAGGCAACTTCTTACAGTAATTCTGCACTGCTCCGTTTTATTTACAAGGCTGGATTATGCCTATTACATTTATTAGGAGTTTTAAAGACTTTTTTTGGTTTTGGCAATTAGAATCCTGTGGTTTAGGCCTTACCACCCTATTGCATACTAGGTGGAGCGGTCACAGGCATCCCTGAACGTGGCACCTCTGCGTGTCTGCTGGGGGAATGCGGAAGATAGACAGATAGCTTTCCCTGGTCCTCCACCCCCACTCCCTGCCCCTACCACCCTGCCCCGGGTCTGGCAGCACACTCAGAAGACAGAGGAGAGTACTCACCTTTTAGATAAAAGACTAGAAGGAAGAGCATTTCTGAATTTTTATTTTTTTGTTAAAATGTGTGTGTGTGTATGTGTGTGTGCGTGCATGTGTGTGCACACATGCACATGTGTGTGTGGCAGGTCTGGGGCTTGAACTCAAGGCCTGGGCACTGTCCCTGAGTTTTTTCTCTCAAGGGTAGCACTCTACCACTTGAGCCACAGCGCCACTTCCAGCTTTTTCTGAGTAGTTTATGGGAAATAAGAGTCTCTAGGATTATAGGTATGAGCCACCCAGCTTACTTCTAGGTTTTTTGGTGGTTACTTGGACTTTCCTACCCAGGCTGGTTTCAAACAGTGATCCTAAGATCTCAGCCTCCTGGGTGGCTGGGATTGTAAGCCTGAGCCGCTGGCTGGCGCCGGTCATGCTTCTTCTCACTGTGGTTAGAATGATTTTGTGTTGTGTTTCCCTCATTTCCCAGTGTGGCAGCCAGCTTATTATTACATGCTTTGTTCAGTTTCCTTCTTTGAAGAAGTGGACCAGGAAAGAATTTTGATGATTATACTCCAAAAACGAGTTTTTAAATTGCTCCCTGGAATTTTAAGTGCAGGTTCTTCTTGTGTAGCCTTGTCCCCTTTTTAATTCATTTCCTTTTATACTTTACTATGCTTTTAAAAACTGGTTTTCCTGGCCTAAATATCCTTGCACAGTCTGTAATTTATTCCTGCTATGAAACTCACAGTACTCTTAAGCTTTAAGACGCTTAATTCAGCTCTCAGATCTTAACACTATCTTTCAGATCTATTTTATTCAATAAAGTGTCACTGTCCTTGTACCAAAAGACCCAAATCAAAGCCAGTAGAAGCTCTGACAAGTGAGCTTTAGACATCTGCCTGGATTAATTTAGCCAATTAAACTATTAGCTCAGCTTTCATCTACAGATGTAGAACCTGTCTGGAAGTACTGGGAGAGCAAGGAGTGTCAGCCTCACAATAAGGGGTAGAGCGGAGGGACACGGTGTGGAGGGAGCAGCAGCACTCTCTTGTGGAGTGGCGACCGCCTTGGAACAGTCTCCTGTGAACAGACTGGCAAGGCAGGTGGAACACGACGTGGTCCAGCCACGGGTGTGGTGTGGTGTGGTGTGGAGCTACAACCCTTGGTTGGCTCCCTGCATCTGCGCACACATCCCGTGGTGTCTGGGAGGAACCCGCCCTTCCACATTCCAGCGTTCCTAGGGAGTAGTCCAGCGTATCATTACATTTAAGGCCTACTTATGTGGATAAGCACTCTTATTCAATGATAACTTTGCAATTATGATTATTATTAAGGAGTCAAATCAGAATGTCAGTAGAAGTCTGAATGTGCTTATAAATAAAGCAAGCAGGAGTGCTTCACTCCGCAGTGCTTGCTGAGCTGTTTTGTGACTTTCTGTTGTTCCTTGTTGCTCAAGTCACTGATTCTGTTATAGTGTTTGCCTCAGTAACATACATGCTGGATTAATGTTTTGAAACACAGGACTCCTTAGCTCAGTGGGTTAGGCTTCAGCCAGCATCATGTCATTTGCAAATCCCACATTTATAACACAGAGTAAACAAATTAGTAGTGAAAACCTATGCTGGGTTATTTTTGTGAAATCATGTGGTACAGAGAGACAAAAACATTTCCTGGGAATGACTCAAAACTTAATGTTGAAGGGTTTGCTTAGCATGCGCAAGCCCAGGGGTCAAGACTTTATGCAATTGATTTGTTAGGGAACGTTTTTAATAATGATAGCTTGGTGTTCAGTTAAAAATGTGATAAGATGTTGTTGGGTAGAAGAGCTGTTTGCTCACATGTTCTTTGTTTACTAAGATGGTAGCCCCTGTGTTGTGCATTGCAGGTCTTTTTACAGAATGATCGTTATTGTGAGTAAAGAATATAAAGACTTTTTTTTCCCTCCCAACTCCTTGCAAATTAAAAACTGCAGTGAATGACAGCTGGGTGCTAGTGGCTCACACCTGTCATCCTAGCTACTCAGGAGGCTGAGATCTGAGGATCTCAGTTCAAAGCCAGCCCAAGCAGGAAAGTCTGTGAGACTCTTATCTCTTATCTCCAATAAACCACCAGAAAACCGGAAGTGGCACTGTGGCTCAAGGGGTAGAGTGCTTGCCTTGAGCTGAAGAGCTGAGGGACAGCGCCCAGGCTCCAAGTTCAAGACCCATGCCAAAAATACCAAAACAAACAAAAAACCTGCAATGACATATAAGTAGTTCCTGCAAGGTACCAGTGGCTCAGACCTGGAATCCTAGCTGCTCAGCATCACGATTCCAAGCCACCCCAGGTAGAAAAGTACATGAAACTCAGTTAGCCAGTAAAAAAGCTAGACTGGAGGGTTTACTTAGGTAATACCAGCCCTGAGCAAGTAAGCTGAGCAAAAGTGTGAGCCCTAAGTTTAAGCCACAGTACTGGCAAAAATAAATTTAAAAAAGGAGGGGTGAATCTCTGTAAAATTATTTTGTGGGATGCTTAAGTTTGTATGTGTGTGTGTGTGTGTGTGCATGTGCATGCGTGTGCGCGGACACACGATTGGCTGGTGGGGGAAAGCTGCTTAGCTAGGAGAATGTGTGTACCGTCCTGGGTGCATGTGTGTATAGGTTAGGAGGGTGTGTGTACCGACCTGGGTGCATGTGTGTATAGGTTAGGAGGGTGTGTGTACCGACCTGGGTGCATGTGTGTATAGGTTAGGAGGATGTGTGTACTGACCTGGGTGCATGTGTGGTTAGGAGGGTGTGTGTACCGACCTGGGTGCATGTGTGTATAGGTTAGGAGGGTGTGTGTACCGACCTGGGTGCATGTGTGTATAGGTTAGGAGGATGTGTGTACTGACCTGGGTGCATGTGTGTATAGGTTAGGAGGGTGTGTGTACTGACCTGGGTGCATGTGTGTATAGGTTAGGAGGGTGTGTGTACCGTCCTGGGTGCATGTGTGTATAGGTTAGGAGGGTGTGTGTACTGACCTGGGTGCATGTGTGTATAGGTTAGGAGGGTGTGTGTACTGACCTGGGTGCATGTGTGTATAGGTTAGGAGGATGGATGTCTGGCCTTTGTATCCAATACAGCCCTATGCATATGTGATTTTTAACTTTGCATTTAAATTTAAGCACAATTACAACTTCAGTTTATTTGTTGCATTAGCCACATTAAAGGTTTTCATGTTTGTAGAAGTCCTAGATGGTTGTGCTGGAGTCGACACTTAGCAGCCCCTTAAATGGAATATTTGATAGCTGTTGTGCCGGTAGATGAGGTGAAATTCTTTGCAACCATTATTTCAAGCACAGTAGCTGGTAGTAAGTGCTGTGCGTGGTCATGCTAGTATAATCACAGTGTTCACCGTAGAAGGAGAAGCACAGGACGTTGGTGCCCTTGCCCTGAAGTTACGCGATTGGTCACTGGGGTGACCCGTCACAACCTGCCAAAGTGTCAACGCATGTCCCTGCTCCCGGCTCCCTGCTCTCTGCCTCAGGGGGATCACATAATAAAGTCTACAGATGAAACGGCGTCTCACTTCAACATAGGCCCTTGCGTGATCATTTCTAAGATGGTACCCAAAGAGTAAGTGGATTTATTTGTGGCCTCCTGAGCACTTACTGAGCCTTGGTGTGGACTGTTAGTCTAGAAAGTAGTATGTACTCGATTTAGTCCTCATCCCTGTAAAGAGGATGGTGGCGGATGGCAGGAGGTTAAGAGAGGTGATGTGAAGCCCTCGGGGTGCCATTCTCTGTTAGCTCCTCTCTCCTTAATAAGACTTGTGAAGCTGAGGGCTGGGTTGTTGCTTTGCCAGTCCTGGGGCCTGAATTTAGAGTCTGTGTCTGCCCTTGAGCCTTTTCTGTTCAAGGCTAGCACTCTTTAACCCTTGAACCACAGCTCCACCCTTCACTGGAGATAAAAAGTCACAGGGACTTTTCTGCCTAGGCTGGCTTTGGACCACAATCCTCAGGCCTCAGCCTCCTGTGGGGCTAGGATTGTAGGCGTGAGCCACCTGCCTGGCTCTAGCTTTACTAAATCCCTCAACACACCGAGGTACTTGGCTGTTGGTTTTGAGACCCTTAAAACCCCAAATCTTTTCACAGTGGGAGCAGTCACTAGAAAAAGTCTGATTTTCTTGGCGTCTCTTACTGTATCCTTACTTGGTAATTTTGTCAGTGTCAGGTTGAGCCCCATTCTTCAGCTGAGGAGAGCTGTGAGCAGAGCGGCATGTCAAGGGGTGCAGACGGGGGCCGGGGGCATCGGGGAGGCGGCGTCTGGGGAGAAAAATGGACAAAGAAAGCTTTGAACATGCAGTAGGTTGATCTTTTCAGTAAAAAGATTACCCCGCACATAAAGAGACATTCTTTAGACATGAACATCTATGCCACAAAAATGTTTTTGTGTCTTTTTTTTTCAGTCTGCTTTGACATTCAGACTGCTTCTGTGAACAATTGCTCAATTTCAGTAATCAGTAGAGGAATTAAAATCACAACCCCAGACAATTTCACATCTACTGGAATGACAATCAAAAGGGTAGTAATGAGTGTTGCTGAGAACTTGGACAAATGAAGCCCTGAGAATGAAGGACACGGAGAGAAGTTGGGGTGGCATGGCAGCGGCTCCCTATGGAGTGAGACCTAAATGTGTCAAGCATGCCAGCAATTCCACACTACTGTGTGCGCCCCCAAGAGAGAGGACAGCATTTGCCCACCTGAGGATCTGCATGCAGATGTTCATAGTAGCATTATTCATGATAGTTTCAAGAGGACTGAGTACTGACTGGTTAATTGGGTAGTAAAACATGGTATCACCACTACACTACTCAGCAACAAAATATAAAGGGGTACAGCTACCACATGGATGTACCTCAAAAACGTTTTGCAAGAGAAAGAGGTGGTCACAAAAGATCCTATAACATTTAAGCCAAATGTCCAGAAAAGGTAAATCCAGAAATCACATTAGCATTTGCTTGGCTTGGGACAGAGAGAGGCTAACAGGGATGGAAACTGGGTTATGGCGTTGGTGGCACTAATCTCTAAAAATGAATGAAAGTTTGTTTATATCTCAAAAAAAAGGAAGAAAGAATATAAAGAATCGAAGAATCCCCAAACAGGCTAACATCTCACTGTTGTGACAGGTTCTTTTTTGTTGTTGTTGGTAGTGGTCGTGGGGCTTGATCTCTGGGCCTGGGTGCTATCCCTGTGCTCTTCAGCTCAAGGCTAGTGCTCTACCTCTTGAGCCACAGCACCACTTCCGGTTTTCTGTGGTTTATTGGAGATAAGAGTCTCACGGACTTTCTGTTTGGGATGGTTTTAGAACCTCGATCCTCAGATCTCAGTCTCCTGAGTAGCTAGGATGACAGACGTGAGCCACCAGCACCCAGTTTTAAAACAAACACAAAAGTATGTAAAAACATACCCTGCCCTCTGTTTAAGTACCCATTGATAAGATACATTGTATTCATAGACTACTTTGTTAAATGGCAGCTCCTTTGTATATCTACTTAGAGACAATAATTTTTTTACAAAAGAAGCTGGGGGCAGGTGGCTCACGCCTGTAGTCCTAGCTACTAAAGAGGCTGAGATCTGAGGATTGTGGTTCAAAGCCAGACCGAGCAGGAAAGTCTGTGAGACTCTTATCTCCAATGAACCACTAGAAAACCAGAAGTGACGCTGAGGCTCAAGTGGTAGAGTGCTCGCCTTGACCTGAGGTACAGCGCCCAGGCCTGGAGTTCAAGCCTCATGACCAACCAAAAAAAGAAAGAAAGAAAAAGACAGTAAAGCTGGTTCCAGTTCCTCATGCCAGCAGTCACAGTTTCAGGAGGCTGAGATCTGAGAATCATGGTCTGAAGTTAGCCTGGACCAATTAGCCACCCAAAAAGTTGGAAGTGGAGGTGTGGCTCAAGTGGTAGAGCACCAGGCTTGAGCAGAAAATCTAAAGGACAATGCCCAGGTCCTGAGTTCAAGCCCCAGTCCCAGGGAGAGGACTGTACCTGAAGAAGTGGCCAGAGAGCTAGGAGAATCATCAGAAGAATATCTTGAAGGCCTAGAAGACAGTTGTAGGAAGGAGGAAATGTACCTGGCGTGTTCCTGGCGTGGGAGCCGTGGGACATGGGCGAGCAGTGTGCCTCTGGATGGGGTTGGGCTGCTTTTGGCAAGCGGTGTGCGTGGGTCAGGCAGAGGCAGCGGCCTGGTGGCACAGGGAGGTGGGAAGTGAGGACACTCGCAAAGGCCAGGCCTCGTCAGAAGAGCAGGAGGAGGCAGGTGTGCAGGGCGGTGGGGGACTGAATGGAGGGAGCGTTGTGTGAAGTGTGTCACTTCATGCTTGGCATTTTAAAATCACATTTTCCCAGTTGGGATTAAAGGAAAACTCTGCCGAACTTTTAGGCACTGGCTGGCAGCTTTGGGAGACAAATAGGAAGGGTTTGGCCGTGTGGCCCTCTGGATCCAGTCCCAGATGCTTGTTGCTTCGCAGCTTGCTGCTTGTGTCAAAATGAGTATCGGGAGCAGCCTGCAGGGTTGCACAGGGCAAAGTCATCTGGCCGATGCTTGTTCGTGAAGCTGGATCTTCCTCACTTACACCAGACCCGTCTGCCTCCTGCCTTTGTCCCCAGCTTCCGCCCTTCATGGTCACCCACCCACAGCTCCCTGCTGAGAAACCGCTCCAGGCCCAGTTTCACAGCCAGTCTTGGGGAGATACCATGCATTGGTTACTTAGCTGTGTCTCTCTGTGGTAGTGGTGGTGTCATCTGTTTTAAAATAAAGGTTGTGGGAAAGGATTCACATGTGCTCAATTTCTTCTTTTCCTTAGACTCCAAACTCAATGCATAATTTCTCATGCAGTCATCCTAGCAGTTCTGTGACCTAAATCTTTTATTCTCCCCACCTCCAGAGGATGAGAAGATCACACATCAGAGAATTACATGTAAGAAGACTGTAACAATAGAAAATTTTATTCTAAGCTGGGCGCTGGTGGCTCACGCCTGTCATCCTAGCTACTCAGGAGACTGAGATCTGAGGATCGCAGTTCAAAGCCAGCCCAGGCAGACAAGTCCTTGACCACTCATCTCCAGTTAACCACCAGAAAACCACAAGTGGGGCTGTGGCTCAAAGTGGCAGAGCACTAGCTTTGAACTAGCAAAAGAGCTCAGGGACAGCGCCCCAGGCCCTGAGTTCAAGTCCTACAACCCACATAAAAGAAAAGAAATTTAGAAATTTATATTCTGTTAGGCATTTGTTGTGAATAAATGCTACACTACTAAGAAAATGAAAAATTAACCCAGACTTTGCCCTGTGCTGAGAAGCTTGCCCACCTGTGGCATGGTGAGCTGCTCCTTCTGCCGGGGAGTGAGCTCTTGGTTCACGTGCGGATGCTCCCTGCTGACGCCTCCCTGCCCTCTCCCAGCACCCGATTTGCTGGACCCTCTAATCTGTGTGATTCCTCAGGTGCTCCTGTGATTATAGATGCTTTCCTCTGGGCCGCTGCCTCCTCCAGCCCTCGTCTTTCTGGCGTTAGTGGCCCTGGCTGAGTGTGCTTTTTGAATCGTTCTCCTTGTTTTCGCTTAGCACCCCAGAAAAGGTAGTTGTAAGAGCTCTTATTTAGCTTCTGCCCAAGACCTTATTAGTTGTCACACTTGACTTTGGCTCTGTGCCTGACCTCTTCAGGGACTTGCAAGTAAAAAAGCCTCCACGTAGCCCTAGCTTTATGGGTTGGGAACAGTTTAGGAGGAATAGAGCAGGGCGTGTGTCAGATGAGCCATGGGGAGGCTGGGGAGGTCCAGGGAGGCCTGGGCGCCCAGGACTAAGAACTGCTGGCCTCCACTGCGGCCTGGGGCTCCAGGAAGCTCGGACTTGAGGCTGGGCCTCGGCGGGGGCGGAGAGTCCTCCAAACAACTCGGGACACACCTTTCTAATCAGGAGGAACAGGTAGATCCTGCTGGGCAGGGCTGGTGCCCAAATGCTCTGGGCCTCATGGGCCTGGCCTCATTGCTGCTCGTCAGGCCAAGGTCTGAAAGACAAACGCAGTCAAGTGCTCCTCACCTTCATGCTTTGGACTTGGTGTTTGGTGGGAGTGATCTCAAGTGACAGAGCAGTAATGTCAAACCGTTCTGTATTGTTCTTTTTTGGACAAGGACAAAAACCCTTACAAAATTGTAAGGATTTCAAGTCTACGAGGCTGTCGCATTCCTACTCAAAGTGACATTTAAGCCCACCAGGAATGTACATATACTGATGTGGTCCTTAAGTTTCAGTGATAAAAATGGACTATTTGCCAGGTGCTAGTGGCTCATGCCTGCCATCCCAGCTACTCAGGAGGCTGAGATCTGAGGATCGTGGTTCAAAGCCAGCCCGGGCAGGAAAGTCCGTGAGACTCTTATCTCCAATAAACCACCAGAAAACTGGAAGTGGCGCTGTGGCTCAGGTGGTAGAACGCTAGACTTGAGCTGAAGAGTGCAGGGACAGTGCCTGGGCCCAGAGTTCAAGCCCCATGACTGCCCTCCCCCCCCCAAAAGGGACTATTTACAGAAGCCTTCAGGTGCAGTTTCTGAAAGAAGCAACCTCCCTTATATTTTATACCTACCTATCACCTAAGAATCACTCCAGCTTTACAATGGAGTGTGTGGGGTGTGCCAGTAAGCTGAGACAGTAGCTCTGCCGAAGACCTGGGGAAATGGTTTTGTAGTAGCATCAGGTCACTGCATTCATAGAGTATCTCATTAATGCCTGCTTGGAGTCCTTCGCAAGGAGGTGGAGTACAGAGCCATCACCCCTCAGTCAGGTTTGCAATCACGTGGCTGTGCTCAACGTGCATCATTTATAATCAGGTATACTTTGGTTTCTGTGTAGCCTTCACATTTCTTACAGGCAACCTTTAGTTTCCTGCCCGGTGTGTATAGATATACATATATGGGTATAAAATGCAGCCTCCACCTGGCTATGAGCTGTCCTGCTGTGAGCTGATCTGGGCCTCTGCTGTACTGCATTGAAGAGTCTTGTTGGTAGGAAAAGTCCTGGGCCAAGGTACCATGAACAGCTTTCCTGTTTTTGCCTCTTATTTTGCTCTCAGCTGTGAAATGGAGAGAAAAATAAATACTTGACTACTTCCCAAAGGTAATGTTTGAATCTGGTGAGATACCATAATGCCAAGTTAGCTTTATATTATATTGCAAGTGCCACATACAGGCACAATTCTTGGCAACCTTTTTCTGTTTCATAATAAAAGTCTGATTA